TCTCCAATGAGGCCTTGCAATGCTAACCAAATGAGCTTTCTTTCATCACAATTGATTGGTGAATGTGGGATGCGATTACATGTATTCAAGAGAATTAAGAGGTCCGAGACAATCCATGTCAGTTGCCACATCATTTGGTCTATGATTTTAATCCTATTTTTAACTTAGTGTAGCATTACCCATTGTTAAGCTATTTCTTTTTAGCATGGCTATATTAGGCCTTTGTTTTCCCTATTTCTATTTGTCAAGGTTGACGTTGAATACAAGTCTAAACTTGAGTTTAAAGTCAAACTGTTATATTTGATGATGCACAAATCAGTATTGCGCAAAATCAACAGACGAGTATATGTAAAAGTACAAATATATAGTGGTTTCGTTCGGATGACTTACTCCACTCTCGAAAAAGGCAGCGGTGGCCAGAAATCTTCATTGATGGATAAAAGTCACTGGGAGAGTATTCTCTGGAAGAATTACAATGCTTTGAGAGAAGAGAGTAATGTGTGTAAAGAAGTGTGTAGAGGTTTTTAGTTATACCCTTTATGTGGAGAGGGTTTACATTATATAGGTTTTGGTAAGACAATGAGGTGGTGACGTGAGAGAGAAGACTTCTACTATTTTGATAAGTACAATTAAGGTAAGGTTAGATCTCTGTGTATATCCCAATATTTTCTCCCTCGTGCTTCTATTACGTCAGAGAAAAATTTTGAGTTGGGTTGGACTTGAGTTAGAGTGACAAAGAAAAGAGAGCAAAGGAGAAATAGGAGGCTAGTGTTTGGGCAACGCTAGGCCTTGGGCGACGCCTAGGCTTAAGTGACTCCATGAGTGGCGCTCCTTGGTCCCTTCTTGAGCGTTGTCTTTTTGAATCTTTCTTGCACTTGGTGAGTTGGGCTCCTTTCTAGATACCGATCATTTGGGCTTTTTTAATTTATTTTCATTAGCCTTGACTCAATTACTTTTGGGCTCATCAATATTTATAAGGTTGGATTTTAAAGTTAGAATTTCTTCAAATTCTTATGTTAATCTCACTGTGTTACATTTACAAGAGTGTATACTTCTGACAAGGGTCAAACCCCATGCACTCTAGAGAACCATGAATCAAGTTTTCATTTATTACAAAAGGCAATATATAATTTATAATCTTAAAATATGCACCTAATTTATATTTGACCCATGAACTAAGTAATTATACTCACTCACACGCACANAGCCTTTTTAATTTATTTTCATTGGCCTTGACTCAATTACTTTTGGACTCATCAATATTTATAAGGTTGGATTTTAAAGTTAGAATTTCTTCAAATTCTTATGTNGGCAGTTTTGAACTAATTGGGCATTTCCGGAATTGGGTTTTGAGTAACTTTGGGGATAGAAGGGCCTTTGTTCTTGTATTTAAGTTAATGCTTCTAGGGGTATTGTCGATCGATCATATACTTTTTGTTGACTGTCCAGAGGGAATTGGGCGTTACCTGGGATGTGGATTTGTATGGTGAATTGCTCAAAATTGGTGGTGGAAAAGAGAGGTAATTGAATTTTTTGTGGAAGTAATATTTGTTCTTACTCCCATAAGCCTTGGAATCTGTTTGAATTTTTTTTTAAATGGGGGTGGTGATTTCGTTTCATCTGTGCCATTGTAGTTGGTATGGTTGAAATAGTATTTAATCTGCTGAGGAATTGCTTGAGTTGAATTTTAAAGTGATTGATTCTGGTGTGTTTAGGATGACTGCCTACTTTAACAAGACAGGCTGGCCAGAAAAGGCGCCAAAGAGCGAAGAAGAAAGAAAGGATTTTATAGCTTCACTTCACAAGCAAAAGACGGAATTGTTCATGGTCCTTATTGAGAAAAAGTTGCTGCCTCTCCGACCTGGTGTTGCAAAGTAAGTTTTTGTGTATTTTTTGCCTTAACTAAGCTGCATTTCTTAGCTTGATGGTTCCCTTTATTTGTGGTTAAAGTTGTTTGTTGTAGATATATGGCCATTGATTACTCATCATGTTATGCGTCATATATGCTCTTTGTAAATTTCAAAGCTCAAGAAGTGTTTGCCCAAGTGCAAGTGTCATTACTTCTTCTGATTAAAACAAAACCAAACGAAAAAAGTGCATGCGACATTGGAGTAAGTATTGGAGAACAATCATTACACTAGCGTGAAGACATGAATACAATCGCATTTTCTTCTCGTTATCATAAATATATCTAATTGTGCTAGTAATCGAATTACTGCATCCTGCTGGTTCATTCAAGTGCACAGTACCAGCTTCGTATAATTACACTCAATGCGTTTACAAGCTTTTGAATATGGTTTTGTGCCTGGACCTCAAGTTTTGGTCCCTTGATGACATTAACCTTGAGTCTGAGTTGTAACTCTTAATTAGGGTTTGTACTTTGTAGGATATCTGCTAAATATGGTTTATTTCCCTTTGACTCTCCTTGGTGATAGAAAAGTTATTCCTGTGTCTACCTGCGGTTTGTATGTTTTGTAGTCACTTGTCACTTTTGTCTACAAGCACCTCTGATGTGTTCAGAACGTGGGATGGGTACTTAATATTGACAGGATAACACGAGTTATCTTAGAGAAATTGCGTAAATTACTTTTGTAGTCACATGTCACTTAGTAAGGGGTTGCATAGTTGTTAGGATTTGTCTCTGTGTTTCTCTCAAGGAAATTACATAAATCGCATATTATCATTTTTTACATTGTTATGAAGTCTTGACAGGATGACAACAACACAGTCGATTATTGGTAACCTTTTGTTGTAGATTAACTAAAGTATATGATCACCAGTTATCTTTTCTGACAGAATAAAATCTAAATTATTTGTAAATAAAAATCACAGTTCAAACAAAATGGTCTTCTGCAAATAAATTCCGGGTCTTTGTCTGAAATAACTTAAACATTCTGCATTTTTTGTGTTCTTATTATAATGTCACAGGTTGATTGATCAGGCTTTGGCAAAAGGAGTCAAAGTTGCTGTGTGCAGCACGTCCAATGAGAAGGCGGTATGCATCAGGTTCAAAATTTTTGACATTGAGTGGTGCAGCGTTGCTTTGACAGTGATATACAATATGTAGGCTCCGGGCATGAATCTCATTCTTGTTAGGGCTCCATTTATTGCATACAGTATAATTATATAGAATTTAAATATTTCTTGTTGAAGCAGCCAGATTAAAATCAAGGGATCTCACTTGGCCACAGGAGAATTATTTATTTATTTTTTTGTGTTAGCCCTTTTATCTTATTTTAAGCTATAAGAGCCTATGTGGTTGCAGTCGAGATATTAATCTGCACTGGTTATCTGCTTGTAAGTTTGACAAAACTAAGTGTGGTGATTTAGGTTTCTGCTATAGTTTCATGCTTGTTGGGGCCTGAGCGAGCAAAAGAAATCCTGATATTTGCAGGAGATGTGGTTCCTCGTAAAAAGCCTGATCCGGTAAACTTCTCATCTTGCTTAACTGATGAGTTAGATGGTATCTGAAAAAGTATGGAATCATATTGTTTGGTTTTTATTTTCATATATTCGCGGATGAAATTCCAGTTTTCAAATACGTTATCATTAGTCATCAGACATGAATATTAGAATGTGCCTTTGTATTTTGTAGTCTTAAAACGTTTGTCCTTGGTATGGAGTGGACTCATTTCTTTTTTTGTAAAGTAAAAGCTTGGGTAAAAAAATTCTGTTGCTGGGACGGGGTGGACTCATTTCAAGTTCTAAGAGCTCAATTTTCTTGCCAAGTGACAACAGACTATTTTTATGTTATATAGTTTCTTCTTCAGCTCCCTTACTATGTTCTAAATTCGAGTTCTCGCAGAAATGTCATGTTCTTCTTGATCAAAAATGGGATGATGAGATTCATGACTGAACTACTTAAATCTTTTTGGCAGGCCATCTATTTATTAGCAGCCAGCACTTTGGGTGTTGAACCTTCAAGGTATCGCTTGGTTATATGATTTACTAATTAATTCCACCTGGCAAGCTGTTTATTTGTCGGGCAAGCTGTTTATTTATTGCCTTACTATATATAACATGAAAAACAATGACTAAATGAAATTTATTAAACCACATTGTGGGCTGATTAAGTGGCAGAAATTAATCACATATGTGCACTTAAGACAGATTCATCTTTTTGACATTCAATTTGCAATCAGCAAAGGTGCACAAATGTTTGAAAATGTGATATTTTCTCTCATTGTCACAGTTGTGTTGTGGTCGAAGACAGCGCCATAGGCCTTGCAGCTGCCAAAGCTGCTGGAATGAAATGTATAGTAACAAAGAGTGGGTAAGTTGCTCTTCGTTACTCGTATAATACCCTTCAAGTGGATCTCTTTAGCATACATGTGCAGATAGACCTTGACATGTAAAATTTGTTGCACTGGTTTGATGTTCTATTTCTCAAAACAAAGCAAAAAAGAAATTTCTAGCCACCAGAGTTCTCTTGGATTTATTAACAATACATGAGCTGTAGGCATTCCGAAAGTCTTCATTGATCTTTGTTATTGCACCTCTCAGATTTCCCAGAACCCATTTAAAATTTGTTGGATTGGTTTTTGCCCTGACTTGATGTTCTTGTACTCAAACGAAGCAAAAACGAAATATATAGCTGCTGGGTTTTTCTTTGATTTATCATCAATATCTGACCATTTTGCATTCCCATAGACTTAGAGGCCTTTGTGACGGTAAAAATGTATAAGTAAATGGGTTGGTTTCCTGGTTGCAGATACACCGCAGATGAGGATTTCGTAAATGCTGATGCAGTTTTTGACTGCATTGGAGATCCTCCAGAGGAACGATTTGACTTGGAATTCTGCGGAAGCCTTCTTGAGAAACAGTATGTAAGTTAGCTCGTAATCAGTAAGAAAATGTATCCTAGCAGTTCTATTTGATGTGTTCTTTCTGCCTCTAAAATAAGGCAATGTTGTGTCACGTAATGCTAGAATTTAGAGATGCCAATTAATTTTGACGACTTTGTGAAGCGTCGAAATTATATTCAGCATAAATCAACTGTTGTGTAATAGAAGTTTTGGTACTGTAAAATGTATATGATATGTAAAATTTGTGAATGCTGTCCTTTTTGGGTGATGATCTCTTGCAACTTTTACTTGTTTCTCAATCTTGTAATTACAGTGTCAAACTCAATGATGATCAGAGACAAGTGTTCTGTCCACCCCCCCCCCCCCCCCCNATTCCCATAGACTTAGAGGCCTTTGTGACGGTAAAAATGTATAAGTAAATGGGTTGGTTTCCTGGTTGCAGATACACCGCAGATGAGGATTTCGTAAATGCTGATGCAGTTTTTGACTGCATTGGAGATCCTCCAGAGGAACGATTTGACTTGGAATTCTGCGGAAGCCTTCTTGAGAAACAGTATGTAAGTTAGCTCGTAATCAGTAAGAAAATGTATCCTAGCAGTTCTATTTGATGTGTTCTTTCTGCCTCTAAAATAAGGCAATGTTGTGTCACGTAACGCTAGAATTTAGAGATGCCAATTAATTTTGACGACTTTGTGAAGCGTCGAAATTATATTCAGCATAAATCAACTGTTGTGTAATAGAAGTTTTGGTACTGTAAAATGTATATGATATGTAAAATTTGTGAATGCTGTCCTTTTTGGGTGATGATCTCTTGCAACTTTTACTTGTTTCTCAATCTTGTAATTACAGTGTCAAACTCAATGATGATCAGAGACAAGTGTTCTGTCCACCCCCCCCCCCCCTGTTTTTATTGATAGCATCAGAGTTTTGGAAAATCCTGATCGTCATATTGCAAAAGATGAAGCATCATATACAGTATACATTTCGCAGAGAAAGAAATTTTACACGAAAAACATGTCACGTTTGTCAATGCGACATCTAGTATGAAGTTAAGGTTGATCAAAATTAAAAAGTTCAATTTGATTAAACTAGTGTCCAAACCATAAGGAGGTGATTAATAGTAAGAATGGTGCCATGTTGGTACTTAACCAAGTGTGCTACAATAGTTTTTTGGCAGCTGCTTCTGTAAGTTGAAGTGACGTGACGAGAAACATTAAGATTTTCGTACCTAGTTTAGGAGACTCGGATATTTTGGAGATGTAAGTTTTTTAACCCAAAACTGTCAAATGTATTGGTTGAACAACCAAAAATGAGTTGGATAGTCTGCTTCTGATGCTTGGGAGAGCTAAAGGTATTCAAAGATGGGCTTGGTTCCATTAGATACTGAATATCAGTTTATTTCACATCAAACCCCTCTAAGGCTCTAGTTAGAAACAAAATCAGGAATTTTTCTTTTTATTTCTTTGCCAATTTTTTTTCAGGTGAAATGAAATGTACAAAAGCAGTGGGAATACAAGGCCTAAAAAGGAACTTATAATATAGAGTGAAAAATACATAAATCAAAATATAGATCAATTTGCGACTACTCGGAGGCTAGCCGTTGAACCTTGTATTGTATGTGATCCTCCAATTACCATCTTGAATCAAGTTGGTGAATCATATTGAGGATTATAACGTGTATGTATTGCATCAAAAATATACACTCAAAACAAAAACATTTCAAGAAAACATATCGGAAATAAAGATATATTTAAAATTGTGACTTCGAAACATTTTTAAATATCTCAAAACATTCATATATCATTTCGGTTAAAACGATAAAGATCCTCCATTCTACCAAATAAAGTCTTAGAAATCAGAACTTGACAACAACGCCACAGGGAACTTGCTCTAAAAACAACCTTGCTCTTTGATCGGAGCCCTAATTACTTTTTTGGTTTTCTTGTGTAAATTCATGATATATGCAGATTTTTTTTTTAATTATTGGGAGGTTTCATTTAATTTTTTTAAATATTAGAAATCTGAAAGGCATAAATACATATAAACTTTTGTAATTATATTCTATGACTAAAGTTTCGTAATCATCTCGAAACAAAAAGGGTTAATTATAACATGCCCTCTTCAAGTTTAAGTCACATTCAATTAACTCCATTTGATTTTAGTTTCAACAATTTACCCCATCAAAGTTTTAATATTTGTCAATTAAGTCAAGTCATTAATTTTGACAATGAAGATAGAAAGCAGTCGTTTGCAAGTCACATAATCTCAAATTTTATGAAGAAATAAAGATTACTCCTCATATCATTTGTATTGGGAAGAAGAATGGAGAGTTTCTTAACCTTCGGATTTTTTTTTTTTTTTTATGAGGACATGCACAAAATCAACAAACAAGAAACCCAACTAACACGAACTAACACGAGCTAATTGCAATTGAACAGAAGTAAGGAGGACTCTCTGAAACCCACTAAACCACCACATCCAGACAATTGCTGATTGAATGAGGATCTAATGGTCATTAAGTACTCACTCACCCCCGTTGCAACGCTCGATATGGGAAGAGATTTTTTGACGAAGACATGCACAAAATCAACACACACGAGCTAAGTGCAACTGAATACAAGTANTTTCGCAGAGAAAGAAATTTTACACGAAAAACATGTCACGTTTGTCAATGCGACATCTAGTATGAAGTTAAGGTTGATCAAAATTAAAAAGTTCAATTTGATTAAACTAGTGTCCAAACCATAAGGAGGTGATTAATAGTAAGAATGGTGCCATGTTGGTACTTAACCAAGTGTGCTACAATAGTTTTTTGGCAGCTGCTTCTGTAAGTTGAAGTGACGTGACGAGAAACATTAAGATTTTCGTACCTAGTTTAGGAGACTCGGATATTTTGGAGATGTAAGTTTTTTAACCCAAAACTGTCAAATGTATTGGTTGAACAACCAAAAATGAGTTGGATAGTCTGCTTCTGATGCTTGGGAGAGCTAAAGGTATTCAAAGATGGGCTTGGTTCCATTAGATACTGAATATCAGTTTATTTCACATCAAACCCCTCTAAGGCTCTAGTTAGAAACAAAATCAGGAATTTTTCTTTTTATTTCTTTGCCAATTTTTTTTCAGGTGAAATGAAATGTACAAAAGCAGTGGGAATACAAGGCCTAAAAAGGAACTTATAATATAGAGTGAAAAATACATAAATCAAAATATAGATCAATTTGCGACTACTCGGAGGCTAGCCGTTGAACCTTGTATTGTATATGATCCTCCAATTACAAAGTGTATCCATCTTGAATCAAGTTGGTGAATCATATTGAGAATTATAACGTGTATGTATTGCATCAAAAATATACACTCAAAACAAAAACATTTCAAGAAAACATATCGGAAATAAAGATATATTTAAAATTGTGACTTCGAAACATTTTTAAATATCTCAAAACATTCATATATCATTTCGGTTAAAACGATAATGATCCTCCATTCTACCAAATAAAGTCTTAGAAATCAGAACTTGACAACAACGCCACAGGGAACTTGCTCTTTGATCGGAGCCCTAATTACTTTTTTGGTTTTCTTGTGTAAATTCATGATATATGCAGATTTTTTTTTTAATTATTGGGAGGTTTCATTTAATTTTTTTAAATATTAGAAATCTGAAAGGCATAAATACATATAAACTTTTGTAATTATATTCTATGACTAAAGTTTCGTAATCATCTCGAAACAAAAAGGGTTAATTATAACATGCCCTCTTCAAGTTTAAGTCACATTCAATTAACTCCATTTGATTTTAGTTTCAACAATTTACCCCATCAAAGTTTTAATATTTGTCAATTAAGTCAAGTCATTAATTTTGACAATGAAGATAGAAAGCAGTCGTTTGCAAGTCACATAATCTCAAATTTTATGAAGAGATAAAGATTACTCCTCATATCATTTGTATTGGGAAGAAGAATGGAGAGTTTCTTAACCTTTGGATTTTTTTTTTTTTTTTATGAGGACATGCACAAAATCAACAAACAAGAAACCCAACTAACACGAACTAACACGAGCTAATTGCAATTGAACAGAAGTAAGGAGGACTCTCTGAAACCCACTAAACCACCACATCCAGACAATTGCTGATTGAATGAGGATCTAATGGTCATTAAGTACTCACTCACCCCCGTTGCAACGCTCGATATGGGAAGAGATTTTTTGACGAAGACATGCACAAAATCAACACACACGAGCTAAGTGCAACTGAATACAAGTAAGGAGGACTCTCTGAAACCCACTAAACTACAACATCCAGACAATTGCTGATTGAATGAGGGTCCAATGACCATTAAGTATTCACTCACCCCCGTTTCCACGCTATTTGAATTCAAAGTAATTTTCTCTTTTCAATAAATCTGATGTAATGTGACTTAATTTTCATTATTTTTCATTGTCGAAACAAACAATTTGAGTTAATTGAAAATTCAAACCAACAGGAGTTAATTGCAACTTAATCTAAACTTAAAAGGGCATTTTATAATTAACCCAAACAAAAACGTTTAAAGACAACAGAACAAAAATAAAGACCTATTTGAAAATGTGATTACTAAATATTCTTAAATATATCGAAACATTCTGATATCATTTTGGTTAAAACGAACATGATCATTGAACCGATATGGGAACCTATTCCATTCCCTGAATACAAGTAACCAAAAAGTAAGTCCTTTACCATGCCAAATGATGGGCTCACTTTACTCTGTTTATCCTTCAAACTTGTATAAACCACTGCTCTCTATTCAAATAAATAAGAAAATTATATGGGTGGTTTAGTCTCCCCCAGTTTTCCTACCTATTAAACCATGTTAGGCCGTTGAGGCAACAGAAGATTATAGAACTTATCTGGAAGGAAGAAATGTTTTCCCTTGCTATCAATAGCTTTTTTCCACCCACACCAGCCACCATTCGCAATTTTCTTGAGCTCGTCATTACCCGTGTAGTGAGGATCAAGTATGAGAAACGCACAGTCTCCGCTCACCTCGTTATAATCGACTCCCAAAAGGGTATATGCAAGAACACCACCACCTGCAAGTACAAACGAAGTCATAAGCGTCTCCAGTTTTTCCACCCATCATTAATCAGCTTATTTTGTTTTACTTCAGTTATTATATTTTTACTAACACCACCCCAACAAAAGAGGAGTCAAACATGGGTTAAAGTTTCTATATTAATACTAGCGAAGAGATGGGAAGTAAGGGTAAAAGTGCTTCATACTGACCAATCATGATAGGTGTTCCCTGGTTCTCAAAATGAAGAACCAGCTCTCGACATTTTTCGGGAAGCTCGGCTCCAGACCTCACGTTTATCACTTTGCAACTGACCTGTTCAACACAATTAATTTGTCATGACTTATTGGGCTAGTGCCATATTTAAGTCTTTATAAGAACTTGAATCCTATTAGCAAAGTTATACACTATTTGAAAGTTTAGCAGGGATTTCAATATGCTTTGAAAACAATCAGACGACTGAACCAGTATGGTTCAAATTTGGCATTCCACCTCATACTTTCACCTATATACATTGCCAATCAAAACTATAGTTGAGATCTAAATGAAATTGTACTTACACCTAGAAGTTTGTCCAAAACAAAGCTTAATTCTATGGCACCAATCCACTCCCGTGACCCTATAAAGGAAGGGTCTTTATCACCAATGTCCACAAGGCACTGCTGTATTTCCCTGAAGAAAAAAAAAAAAAAAACATGCATTTTTGTCAACACTGACACTACAGATAAGGACTAGGAATCGTTTTACTCTGACAAGGTTATTCCTTATAGACATGTCTATAATAGTGAACCCAACCAAGTAACCAGATAAAAATTGTCAAATCACAATTTTGTGGCCTTCAGAATATAAACTAGGTTTGCAATCAGCCATAGAGAGTTCAAAAATGCAAATAACAGAACATCCAGCTGTTTATGTGATGGAGGTATTCAACAGGAGAAGTAAAATAAGATGTTAACTAAATACACACGTAACCTTTTNAAGAAACCCAACACACACGAGCTAAGTGCAATTGAATACAAGTAAGGAGGACTCTCTGAAACCCACTAAACTACAACATCCAGACAATTGCTGATTGAATGAGGGTCCAATGACCATTAAGTATTCACTCACCCCCGTTTCCACGCTATTTGAATTCAAAGTAATTTTCTCTTTTCAATAAATCTGATGTAATGTGACTTAATTTTCATTATTTTTCATTGTCGAAACAAACAATTTGAGTTAATTGAAAATTCAAACCAACAGGAGTTAATTGCAACTTAATCTAAACTTAAAAGGGCATTTTATAATTAGCCCAAACAAAAACGTTTAAAGACAACAGAACAAAAATAAAGATATATTTGAAAATGTGATTACTAAATATTCTTAAATATATCAAAACATTCTGATATCATTTTGGTTAAAACGAACATGATCATTGAACCAATATGGGAACCTATTCCATTCCCTGAATACAAGTAACCAAAAAGTAAGTCCTTTACCNGCCCTATGCACGAGCCACCTGAAATTCTGAGTTCTGAGGACAGTCAAAGTAGTTAATTAGAGGTCTGCAATTGATTTTTCATTGGTAAAAGTTCTCTAACAATCTGAACAACAAGGTTCAATATATTCCATATTGGCCTATAATCATTCCCCTTAATGTTTCTTCTTAGACTTGCAATTTAGAGCATATTGCATTCTGAGAATGTCAATTCTATATGGGGAGTTATTGTACATGACTTTTCCTTGTTCCCACTCAAGTATATTTTATTGACACAGCTGCCCAACATCTAAACCAATATTCCCATTCATAAGCTATTTTTGTTCTAATGATGAACGGTTCAAATTATGGATGGATCATTCACAAAGTCATCCAAACAATAGTTTGATTGCATAGTAGCTTCTTCCGAAGAAGAAAAGGGTACAAATTTTGCAAAGGTGGCCTCAATGGACTTTCTTATAATTTGAATATGCTACATTGAATTCAATTTAATTGGAGAAGAGCACATGGTCATGGCAGGAGGATTTATAGCACTTGATGCTGCTTGGTGAAATTAAGAGTGTGGACAGTTTTAATTACTTGAGAACAAATTATCAAACTGGCTTTCCACAGTTCCACCGAATGTTTTATGCAGTCGCTGGAAAGCCCAGCTAACATAAACATTCATTTCCTTTCAAAGTGATATTTGTTTATGGTAATCAATAATTTGTCATCAAAATCACTTAACAGAAGAAAAATATATCTTCCGACCTCAGTGACTAATATGCTTAACAAACAGCNCGAGGAAAAAGTTAGAGCCTAAGATCAGTCATGCACACACAATGACAGACTGCACAAAATTTAGCCCATTTGAAATTGACTGATTACCTTTTCGAGTTAAGTTGCTCTTTGCACTCTTCTTCATTGTGGAAAATTTTATGGCATTGGCAATTCTTAGGAGAGGACGGTCAAAAGGTAATCCAAGCTTCAAATGTATGGATCTTCTACCTTCAACTGCAGAAAGAAACATCCATTACATTAAGAGGAGATCCCAGGTCGCATTAATTATGTCGATCAATTCTGTTTTTACTTGCTTCTTGGGACGAAAGACATCATATTATAAATACTTCTAGTTTCTCCAGAAAGACGACCCAAGATGATATACATTAGATACATATCTATATCTATTATTTAATGTTTGGTGAAAGTCATCTAAAATATTTGCACATAAAAGGGCGACCCAAGATGATATACATAAGATACATATCTATATCTATTATTTAATGTTTGATGAAAGTCATCTACAATATTTGCACATAAAAGGGCGGCCCTATGCACGAGCCACCTGACATTCTGAGTTCTGAGGACAGTCAAAGTAGTTAATTACAGGTCTGCAATTGATTTTTCATTGGTAAAAGTTCTCTAACAATCTGAACAACAAGGTTCAATATATTCCATATTGGCCTATAATCATTCCCCTTAATGTTTCTTCTTAGACTTGCAATTTAGAGCATATTGCATTCTGAGAATGTCAATTCTATATGGGGAGTTATTGTACATGACTTTTCCTTGTTCCCACTCAAGTATATTTTATTGACACAGCTGCCCAACATCTAAACCAATATTCCCATTCATAAGCTATTTTTGTTCTAATGATGAACGGTTCAAATTATGGATGGATCATTCACAAAGTCATCCAAACAATAGTTTGATTGCATAGTAGCTTCTTCCGAAGAAGAAAAGGGTACAAATTTTGCAAAGGTGGCCTCAATGGACTTTCTTATAATTTGAATATGCTACATTGAATTTAATTTATTTGGAGAAGAGCACATGGTCATGGCAGGAGGATTTATAGCACTTGATGCTGCTTGGGTGAAATTAAGAGTGTGGAAAGTTTTAATTACTTGAGAACAAATTATCAAACTGGCTTTCCACAGTTCCACCGAATGTTTTATGCAGCCGCTGGAAAGCCCAGCTAACATAAACATTCATTTCCTTCCAAAGTGATATTTGTTTATGGTAATCAATAATTTGTCATCAAAATCACTTAACAGAAGAAAAATATATCTTCCGACCTCAGTGACTAATATGCTTAACAAACAGCCCCTCGGGGTACATATTTGAACACCACACATTCAATCAACATCCAATTGAAGACCAACAGTGTCCAACATGATCTAATCATAAAAACTAGATAGTCATAGAGATATTACATCCTCCATCTAAAGTATGAATCCTCACCTTGCTTCAGTTCTGCCTCTCCAAAACTAAGTTCATAAATAACAGTTATTGGATGCAAAATCCCGGGTGGGCTGAAGTGATATGGATGTAGCTGGAAAAAAAATTACATATTAGTGACTTGCAAATGATCATCAATATAAGAAACTTAGAAGCCAAACAAATGGTATATTTTAGAGAATAACTTGAAATTTCATTAGATATGACATTCATATACTAAAATAACTCAAATGCCAATATTGACAATGGCATCATATCCATCTTCTCATGGCCACGACAGACAAGTCTTGAGTTTAGTAATCATTGCTCTTGCTTTGAGGACATATATGATGCATGAAATTTGTTGGTTTTTTTTACCAAATTCTCTCAAATACCTCATCATCTGGACTCCTAGCACCTTTGTTATTACTTTCATAGCCATTTAGAGAGAGCAATTCAAAGATATTCTTCTCAACACACAATAGGAAGTATACATGAGGGGTGGGTAACAATCAATGTCAACTTACCGTCGCACCCCATGAATATAAATTTGTCATAATAAAAGCCTGGATTACATGGCATCGTTTTTTTTCAGAGGACTATACTCTATTTAAAGTTCTTTTGAGAGTTTGAACTTGTATCAAATGCAAAAATTTGAATCCTGAAGTGTTCTTCTTTTCCTATCAGTTGGATTCATATTGCATTATTGATTTGGACTGAGCACTCCCTTTAAGAAATTAAACTTTTCAATGTTTTCCCTTTTTCCATCCATTCTTTTCTTCACTGCCGAACGAGTTAATTTTATGGATATCCTAGAATTTTGCCTATACTAGTTATTTAATTTACATTTGTGAAATCTAGGACTAAGCATAAACTTTGAAAACCAGAAAAGTAAAAAAAGATAGGAGCTATTTACTATCATAACTGAAATGAGATTAGAATAGCCTTTGTGTAATGAGATGGCACTCCATCCCTATAAAAAGCCTAGGATTCCATTTTGACTCAACACATGTAGCTTGGGTGTTATTTTTCGACTGTGAAATTCGAAGGAGAATATCACTAGAGCAATAGAATCAGAGANTGTAGCTTGGGTATTATTTTTCGACTGTGAAATTCGAAGGAGAATATCACTAGAGCAATAGAATCAGAGAAAAAGCATGTCACAGTCACATGGACAGAACCCCAGGATATTAATGTTAGCAAGCAATAAAAACAAAGAAAGGGAAACAGAAAGCACAAGTGCAGCACGAATCTGTTTCTTGGCAAAGTGCTAAGGTGAACTGGAGTGTAGCATGTGGAGTGCTCGAAGTTTTGGCCCAACAACTTGCACTTGACCACCGAAAAAAAAAGGGAACACAAATAGCAAGCAGGAACAGGTAAGAGTATTCAGATATAAATAAAACCATATCTAGTATCCTGTTAATTCTAAGATCATTCTTTTACTAGTATCTAAACACAAGGATATCCAAATAAGTCCAAGTATTATAATTTCAATTCTGTCATTCTTTCAGTAATATGTGAGTTATGGTTTCAGCCCTTAAGCTGTCCAAAAAAATTCAGCCTGCATGTATCATTATGCATGTTGCCATGTCATATATGTTAAAGACTGATTCCTGATTTAAATTACCATGAAGACCCTAATATAACAGAATATTTGAAACAGGCTGTCTTACCTGTGGATTTTGTGTTAAGAGGTTAGGCAAAATTGTCCTCTTCATCGCATGCAACTGGTCAGCTAAACCAGGGATGATCAATTTTGAGACAGCATATGTGAGAGAAAGGTCCTTTGCCGCATAACAAAGCACTTCAAGGTTATAATTTACAATCAAACCTTTGGCTTCTTCCAAAGCTGGAATAAAAAAGATTAACTAGTGTTAACACTTCCAGTTAAGGATATCACCCAAATCTGTTGAGTATCAGACACAAGCCCGCAATTATCCAACAATGACTCGGTACCTGGAAAATATTTGGCAGTAGGCACATGATGTCTCGAAGAATTTTCTGATTTATTAAACAGGACAGTTACTTGGATTTTATCTGCACTCTAAGAAAAGAGATTGTCATAAAATTGCTCGAAAAGTGTCATAGTATAACATAAGCAAATCATGCAACGATAGGAAGTAAAGATATACTATAGTGAAGCCATTGAAATTCTCGACAAAACCCACATGGAGTCCACTGAGATATTACCTCCTCAATAGAAAGAAAAGATGGGATATCTTTGCTTCTTAAACAAAAGTTTGAGCATGGTAAGGATTTTGCATCAGATCCTTGAGCAGTGTCATTTAATAGCCTGGCACCTGATAGATCTGTGTTGATGTCCAATTCTGTGCCACGAAGAATGACAGGCAGAGGTGCTTCAGTTGAGGGTCCATTTAAAGTCTCGATGACATATGTGACTTGTGGATCTCTTAACTTGGCAGTGATAGTTTCAGTTGCACACAAATAGACATCCTCTGCATCTGAGGGACACCATGCATACTAAAGCAATCAAAACATGAATATGCGAAGATAAGCATCTGAAGAAATTTTGACTGATAGCCAGAAACTGCCAACATCTGTTACCGAGTGAATCAGATGCAAATATNCGAAGATAAGCATCTGAAGAAATTGACTGATAGCCAGAAACTGCCAACATCTGTTACCGAGTGAATCAGATGCAAATATAATATAAACAGGACAAATGGCTACCAAGCCAAAAGTAGATGTCAGTTGAAATTAACAATATTTTATTGATAGTAATCAGATAGAATCGTGCATAACCTTGAACCACAAACAGAAAATGTGCTAAACAACAACTAGTTAGTAGCAATATGATGCGTTGCATGGATTTTGTTATCTGATTGGTATAGGACAGATTCCTAACACAAATGTTGCTTCTAAGTTATATTACATCCCAGTTAACGACAATAACCCACTCAAAATTGTCAGGGACCACCAAAGCTCATGATACTGAGATGCTCTTACCATGACTGTGTCCACAGTCTTCAGCCATTAGTAAGCACCACTTCTAACATGTGAGCATGCACTTAAGATTCCCATCAATAACCCTACTTTATTCATGCCCTCATGGTTCATACACATTACACAAGAACGAGTGTCCATCTGTGCTACACAATTTAGAAAGTATCTTATAAACTCAAATCCACACATTTCACAGTACAGTTGGTAGAACATCCATATTCTTAATTAGCAACTTGAGCAATACAAACACTACTGACCCGAATGCTATGACAGTAACTGAATCGTTCTCTTTTATTGCGTACAAAAATGGTGTCTCTTATGTAGTTATGCAACTGGTTTTTTGGGAAACAGAGGAGATATATCTTAAACCATAAAGTTGTCATACCAAATGCATATACCTACTCCTCAAATTGTGGGGCTCATTATGACACCAAACATTCATATCCACCTCTCAGCGACGATTGATTACACATCCCATGAACATATCTTTCAAGCATTCCTCTTCTCATGTTCAGAAAAAAAAAAAAAAACATTCCTCTTCTAAATTAATGATCATTAGACACCAAACACTATAGGTTCGAATCTTACAGCCTGATCATTGCGAACAAGACATTACACATCCTACATTTGTGGGACTGGTCATTTAAACCAAATTTTCACACCCATTATATTCATTCACCAAGTATTTGGCAGAAGGATCAGATGCCCAGATTCAAATCACCACTGAGCTTTGCTGACCTTCACCTGCTAATTTATTGTGTATTCTAATTTTCCAAAGTTCTAAATCACAAGAAGTCCCGAATTTATCTTCTAACTTCCTCACTTATCTCAGTTTCTTCATTTCTGTTTGTGTGTCAATAGCAAGAAAATTTCCATTCAGCCATTCATTAAAGTATTACAGGTATCTTTTGCACGCCAATGGACCAATATTTTCAAGAATATGTTTCATCTCTACATCAGTGCGCGTGTGGGTGCCCGTATATTGCCTTGTAAACACACATCATTTAGAAATAGCAATGGCAATGGCAAGATACACAGGGAAGTAAAATTCTAAAAAAATAATAATTTAGGCCTCGATGAAAAAGCATAAGGTATTATAAAGGGCAGAAAACTCCAAAATAAAATTCCCATCCACGAAACTCTAGTCAGAACATCCTCACAACCAAAGACAGTTACAAGAGAAAATAAAATTGTACCTTTAGGACTGTTTGCAGGATAATATAAAGGCAACTTTATCGGAAGCTCACATCGAAGTAAACAACCTCTCTCCCAAATATATTTCTCCGGCTGATCTTCATACACAACGGAACCAACACACTCAATTCTGTCCAAATTCCCCGACCTCGACAGAAAAAATTGAACATCACCGTTGCTCTCCTCCACCGCANTCTCTATTCTCACATAATTATCTATTTTATAGATTTTATTAATTTTACTTAATAGCGTTATACATTTACAAGTCCGCAAAATAAAAATAATTGTTTTTTAAAATTTAAACAAAAACCTCTAGTTTCCTAAAAATACTATATAAATTACTTTTTTTTTCCTTTCATGAAAAATTATTTAATTTTCGTAAAATCTTTAAAATTTGATAATACTATACAAATGCATAAAACTCTTCAAATTTTTCCCAAATTTCATTTAATTATGTAATTACTACCATTTTACCAAATCACTAAATTTCCATGCTAAAACGACTCATACTACACTAAATGATTCCATACACCCATGTAGCGATAAACAACAATTAAGTCCATGTTCAAGGGCGAAATGTAACGGTAAGTTTCTATTACTGAAGATGAAGATTACAAATTATTATTTTTTTAAAAGGTAAGAGAACATGTTTCACTCTATCACTAATATAGTATTAGAGTAATATTGTTTTATTTAATGTCAAAAAAGATAATAACTATATGGAGCTAGGAAAGTTTTAACCAAGCAAGAGATGTGTTCCACTATTGACAAATTTTAGTCATGCCTCTTCTAACTTATCATATATTTAAAGACACCCTCCTATTATAAAAAAAAACACTAACATCTTTTTTAGTTTATATTTAAACATAATTGACACCCTCTACCATTAAATTACCATTTATAACAAAAATAAATTATCTAAAATATCAAAATTACCTCTACATAAACCCCAAGTAATTTTTTTTATATAAAATTTAAGTTGATTAAAATTAATTTTTTTACATATTAAAATTTGGGGTGATTAAATTTTTTTTTTCTATTATTAAAATTTGAGTCAATTAAAATTTGATTCGAGCTGATTAAATTTTATTTTTTTGCGTATTAAAATTTGAACATATTAAAAGTCTTTTTTTACATAAAATTCGAGCCAATTTGAGCTCTACTTCAGACTTGAGCTGTTAGCCCCGATTAAAATTCGTTTTGAGCAGATCAAAATTTATATTTTTTATTATTAAAATTTTATTCAAGTTGATTAAAATTTGAGTCAATTAAAATTTATATTTTTTTATGTCTAAAAATTCGGGCTAATTAAAATTTAATGCGAGTTAATTGAAATTTGATTTGAGCCTCAAATAGAATTTTAATGGGCTCAAATTTTAATACGTAAAAAAATAAATTTTTCAATCGACTCAAATTTTAAAACATAAAAAAAAATTTAATTAACTTGAATCAAATTTTAATCGGCCTGAATTTTAATACATAAAAAATTAGAAAATATAGGGGGTATCATTGAAGATATGTCTATCTAGAGGGGGTATAGATGAAAACTTTTTTAAAATATATCATGAGCAATTTAGTAAAATTGTATTTTAATTAACACCGTTAATTTGATAGAGGTGTTAGTAAAGATTCAAAATATAGAGAGAGTGTCCTTAAAAATATGATAAACTAAAAACGAAGTGTATGAAATTTTCCATTCACTAAATTAAAGTTTAGACCATCTTGAACCCAAACACTTGTGGCAACATTTTTCTTTTCTTTTTCTCTTTCTTTTTGTTACAAGAGAATGAATATATAGATAGACTAATCCACCTTGTTCAAAAAAAAAGATAAATTATTCAATATATTCGTGAGAGAATATTGTCTTTCAGAGTCGTACAAGATTTCACATCCACCTACATTGAGGTGGAAATTAATGTCTACCTGTTCGCTCTGAGCACTGAATGGTAGGTTTTAGCCCAACGAGTAGTTGTAGCTATAGTGACTTGTACATTGAACGAAGAAATCCATATTTTTACCCACTTGGCCAACCATTCAAAATTGACTTTTTTTTAGTCAAATCAATTCAGATTATTCTAACATTTTATTACTTATTTGTTTGTCGCACAATTTTTTTTTTGAATTTCTCTCACGAAAAAGCTTTAATGCTGTCAAATATTCCTTTCATTTCTAAATATTTTTACGAATACGCTTTTTTGATATAGAAGTACATTTTTTTGGAACTGTCCTTTAAAAATAAAGAGGTTACTCTTTAATTTTATTATTTTTTTTGGAACTGCCATTTAAAAAGCATACAGTTGAATGTAAATTATATATGTTTTTAAAGAAAACGAATCATATATTTGAAAAGAACTCAAAACAAATATAGATGTATAATATCTATACTAATTATCTTAAAAAATACATAAATATTAACCATAACCCCAATGAGGAAGAAAGGAAAATAAATCCTACCTAAATTCTGGAGAAAATTGCTCTCAATGTGTTTCATGTGTATGTCCTCGAGATTTAGCTCAATCTATTCTTCCTCCTTCTCTTTTTGTCTCTAGGACTTTTCTAGAATATTTACGGTTGAAAAACATGTAAAGAACTCTTAAAGCGCATTCCTACTTTTATAATGTCAAAAACAGAGGAATAACTCAAAACTGATTAGGAATGACTTCAAAGGCGCGTTCGGACATGTATTTTAAGGGGATATTATGGTTGTCAAAAATATTTGAGTGAATGACACTTTATACCTTAAAAACTTCTCCAATTTTTAATTTATTTCTAAGTGAAAGATTAAAATCTCATATTGTACCTTCATATAAGTAAAAGTATACCAGTATAGTCTAAAAGTAAATATTATTTGGTCTATATTATTGTAGTGGCAGACCTTGGGCAGTAGCTTTGTTAGGAGAATTTTCGTTGTGTTGTGCCGCAAGCCTTTGGATGTCTTCTTCCTTTGTTGTTTCTTTATTTATTTATTATTTTGGGGGAGGGGGAGGAGAAAGGGAAATTCGAACCCATGACCTCAACAAGACAAAATTTTTAAAAGACAAATAGTACCATTGAACCAATTTCAAATATGACAAACGGAAACGATTTCGTTCAATGTTTGATTGAAAATTTTGACAGGTGGTCAAATTTTCAACATTGGATTCTTTNCGACCTCAACAAGACAAAATTTTTAAAAGACAAGTAGTACAATTGAACCAATTTCAAATATGACAAACGGAAACGATTTCGTTCAATGTTTGATTGAAAATTTTGACAGGTGGTCAAATTTTCAACATTGGATTCTTTAATGTCATAGAATTTTCAGATATTGTGACAAATGAGTTCACAGTACCCGGAGATCAAACAACTCATATATAAGCTCAAAAATATGAATTGAGAATTAATCGGAAGAAATACAATAGAACATTGATATATATCNAGAATTTTCAGATATTGTGACAAATGAGTTTACAGTACTCGGAGATCAAACAACTTATATATAAGCCCAAAAATATGAATTGAGAATTAATCGGAAGAAATACAATAGAACATTGATATATATCGATGGAGCAATTAATTCATCAATTTATGATAAGGTTGCTCATGTTTCGATGACAATGCGGCATGCAATGTCTTGATCAATCGTTATATTGGACAAGACAACGTGAAAAAAGTTCGGTCGTAGACCCTGTACAGGCAGTTTGATCTTCTTCAGATGAAAAAATTAAAAAATATATCTGATGAAATAAATTATGTCATTTCATTGTTTANAGCGATGTCTTGATCAATCGTTATTTTGGACAAGACAACGTGAAAAAAGTTCGTTCGTAGACCCTGTACAGGCAGTTTGATCTTCTTTAGATGAAAAAATTAAAAAATATATCTGATGAAATAAATTATGTCATTTCATTGTTTATCAATTTTATTTTATGTTGAAATATGAAAAATTTTAAAGTAGTGAATGTTATTTAGTTTTAGTGTCGAAAGTGAGACCTCATTAAATAGTTGGACAAAGGCCCGCCTTGTTTCTATTTTTAGGTGTTTTTAAAAACACTAATTTTATTGTTTGCAAATTTGGGGTCTGTTTTGAAAATAACCAAGATGNATTTTAGTGTCGAAAGTGAGACCTCATTAAATAGTTGGACAAAGGCCCGTCTTGTTTCTGTTTTTAGGTGTTTTTAAAAACACTAATTTTATTGTTTGCAAATTTGGGGTCTGTTTTGAAAATAACCAAGATGAAAAGAAATAAAAATAACTACCAAATGTTTGTATTTTTTTTTCGGTCTAATATTAAAAACAAAAACAGTAAAACAAAACGCAGCCTATGTGTGCACAGCTAGTGTGTGTGTGCAGCCTGGGGTATGGTTGCATGTGCGCGTGTATATAGACAGATTAAGACAGAGAGAGAAAGAGAGCACGAGGGAGGGTTGTGGGAAAAGAGGAGACAAGCAAGATGAGAGTGGTTAGTTGTAGGCATAATTTTGATCAATTAAGGAATGAATCAATTAATTTTGTCAATATAAAGATTAATGCTCCGTTTAGTAGGAATAATGAAAAGTGGGAGGGATATACTTTCTATCATTCAAAGAAGGAAAGTAGGAATGATACACTTTTTTTCATTTGTGTTTGGTCGGCTGTATAAAAAATAAAAATGACTAATTTTTATTTTATTTTTGTTGTGCTGACTAAGATAAGGAGTGACAATCAAATAGTGTCGTATCATATCTGTGTTAAGTCATTACGGATTTGTGTCGAATATTAGTTACACTTAACTCAACTCATTTAACTAATTGTGTTGCATCGAATTACTAGTTGACCTATTTATTTTCGTGTCATGTTTGTATTCGAGTTAATCAAATTTGTATCATAAAATTCGTGTCGAATTCGAGTTGTATTATCATGCTGAGTCAAAAATTTTCATCCCTAGTTAAGATGACAAAAATATTTTTTTAATTTAAATTTTAAAATTTTATTGTTTTATTTTTGTATTTTTTATATTATGTATCCCTTAAAATTTTTATTTTTATTATTTATGTGTATATATATATATACATATTTTATTATTGTATTTTTATATGAAATTAATGTATACATAATATATGTACATCTCAACACAAATAATTAACTTTCTATCTACTTTCTTTTCGATTTTGAAGGGATTAATTTTGATGAGTTAGAAAGAAAGTTAATCTATCTACTTTTTCATTCTTCTTATTTTCCTTTTTTATCAAACATTATGTTTTATTTATTTCTCTAACTTTCCATTCTTCTAACCTTTCATCATTTTATTTTTTTATTGTACCAAATGTTAAAATATACGGGTCTCTTGACGTTAATAATTTGGATAGAAAATTTATTAGTTTTGGTTTGTCCCTAAACCACATGGGTTCGTGCGGAGGCATCCAAAATACAAGGAAGGAGTCAATCTTAATTAGGGTGCAGGCGGGCGGGTTAGACGGGTTGATGGGTCAATTATAACCCATTCTTAAATATATAATCTTTAATCTTAATTTTAACTCTAATCCAACTTCATCTCNCTAGTTAAGATGACAAAAATATTTTTTTAATTTAAATTTTAAAATTTTATTGTTTTATTTTTGTATTTTTTATATTATGTATCCCTTAAAATTTTTATTTTTATTATTTATGTGTATATATATATATACATATTTTATTATTGTATTTTTATATGAAATTAATGTATACATAATATATGTACATCTCAACACAAATAATTAACTTTCTATCTACTTTCTTTTCGATTTTGAAGGGATTAATTTTGATGAGTTAGAAAGAAAGTTAATCTATCTACTTTTTCATTCTTCTTATTTTCCTTTTTTATCAAACATTATGTTTTATTTATTTCTCTAACTTTCCATTCTTCTAACCTTTCATCATTTTATTTTTTTATTGTACCAAATGTTAAAATATACGGGTCTCTTGACGTTAATAATTTGGATAGAAAATTTATTAGTTTTGGTTTGTCCCTAAACCACATGGGTTCGTGCGGAGGCATCCAAAATACAAGGAAGGAGTCAATCTTAATTAGGGTGCAGGCGGGCGGGTTAGACGGGTTGATGGGTCAATTATAATCCATTCTTAAATATATAATCTTTAATCTTAATTTTAACTCTAATCCAACTTCATCTCGACTTCTGTCCAAGTTAAATTTGAACGGTTCAGGTTGAATTTGGGCTGAGCTCATGTTATAAAATCGAGTTCAATTTTGGGTTAATTTCGGTTCAATATGACAACAACTTATTCAATTAATACAGAGACATTGAACCAGAGAAAGAAATAAAAATTCAAACAAAAAAACGCAAATCCAAAAAAAGAAACAGAGAGAACTAGTGTGGATCTTCTCAGAGACGAACACAAAAATGGCTTGGATCTTCCCAAAGAAGAAGAGAGAATCACGCAATATCTTCTGATCTTCTCAAATACGAAGAATGGAGGTCTTCTCCAGATCTGCGATAGACTTCTTTAGATCTGTTGCTATAGATTTCTTCAAATCCTTGGTAAANTCCAAAATACAAGGAAGGAGTCAATCTTAATTAGGGTGCAGGCGGGCGGGTTAGACGGGTTGATGGGTCAATTATAATCCATTCTTAAATATATAATCTTTAATCTTAATTTTAACTCTAATCCAACTTCATCTCGACTTCTGTCCAAGTTAAATTTGAACGGTTCAGGTTGAATTTGGGCTGAGCTCATGTTATAAAATCGAGTTCAATTTTGGGTTAATTTCTTTTCAATATGACAACAACTTATTCAATTAATACAGAGACATTGAACCAGAGAAAGAAATAAAAATTCAAACAAAAAAACGCAAATCCAAAAAAAGAAACAGAGAGAACTAGTGTGGATCTTCTCAGAGACGAACACAAAAATGGCTTGGATCTTCCCAAAGAAGAAGAGAGAATCACGCAATATCTTCTGATCTTCTCAAATACGAAGAATGGAGGTCTTCTCCAGATCTGCGATAGACTTCTTTAGATCTGTTGCTATAGATTTCTTCAAATCCTTGGTAAACTTCTCCATATCTACTAGGACTAGTGGAGAGGAGATGGATACGAATAAGACACCCTAGTCTTTGATAGCGAGAGACTGAGAGGTAGAGAGGCTGAGCAACTGGCTAAGCGAGAGAATGAGAAAGACTGAGTGAGAAAGTGAGGGAGGCGCCTCATGTCAAGTGAACGACGAACTTGTGTTATGTTGCGGGTTTGGGTTGAACCTAGTAACTCGAGTTGTCCGAATTCAATTTGTATTGGTATATTTTCATCAACACTAAACCCAAATATTAAAAATTTCAATTCAAACTTTAATCTTTTTTTCAGTTGGATTTAGATCGAATTAGGGTTTCGCCGGTCCAAATTCTACCCCTAATCTTAATTGGATTAAACTATTGTTAGGTAGAGGATAATTTGCCCAAAATTCACCTCGTGTCGTGTGTGATGATGCCTCTAGTCCCTGGTCTACTAAAAACTAACAGATAGTCCACGCCCTTTCACAGGCGCATGGTAGATGTAGCCAATATAAAGTCTAAAGGAAGCATAATGCCTTCTTCACATCCACACCTACACCACCTTGGGCGCAGCTCCTCTAGAAATTGAAACTAACAGCACACAATGTAGTTTAATGAAACGGTACCATTTTTTTACTTGAACTCACAGCTCATTCGTCCCATTCTCCTGCACAGTGTTGCTTGAGATTTCAATTCTTCACCAACAAAAGCCAAAAACCAGGTTGTATCCCACTTCTTAAGGAAGAGGCATATTGTTCCTCTATTATTGTATTTTATTGTATCTATTATAATATACTTGTTATATAGAAATTTATTGGACACAAACGAATTATTTAGTAATAATATATATTTAAATAATATTTATATTTATATATCTCAATAAACATATATAAAATCTTAAAAATAATTTGAGAGTAAACTTGTGCTTACCTTAAGAAAACATCACGCATGAGCGAATTTGGTAAAAGCTTAAGATGGGCACAAGTCCACTCTAGATTTTTTTATAATTTTTTTATATAAATTAAGATATATAAATATACAAATTATTTAAATATCTTTTGTGATGTTTGCCCTATTATTTTTGTTTTTGATTGTATTTTATGAGAATATGAGTTTTGACTGTCAACTTTATATATCTATGTCTTGTTATTTTTATTTTTTCATAACTTACATGTTGTTGTTAAATAAATTAAAAATGAATAACATGAGAATCCAATTGCATAACGGAATGAATATCAATAGATGATTCATAACTTGAATATATATAGAGAGATATATATTATTGTAAAATAATTCGTTTGTGTTCAATAATTTTTTATGTAACAAGTATGATGCAATAAATACAAAAAATAATAGGGTGATAAAAAAAGAATAGATACAATAGAGGAAGAATTGACCTCTTGCATAAGTGAAAACATGATTTGTTAGTGAAGGACTGAAATTTCAGACGACGCCATGTAAGAGAATGGGAGGAATGAGTTGTGGGTCCAAACAAAAAAGTGGTACCATTTTATTAAACTGCATTGTGTGTTAGTCTCCAACAGTAGAGGAGCTGCACCCCACCACCCCACCACCCCTATCTCTCTCAGAATTCAGAACATGGCGATTTCCTATTTCCGAAGGATTACTAAAGCGCAAAGGAAAAGGAAGTAGGATGCCGAATGTAGTCTCAAGGCGGTTCAACAATTCAATGATGTTTCTCTTAGTGTTTAGAAATCTCAGAAGGCTGTTGAAGAAGCTGGAAAGAATCTTGAGGATGCTCACAAACTCCTCCTTCAATCCGAGTGAGAGTTCTGTAGAATGACGTCCAAACTGAGGTTGGAGAAAGTGATTACAGTGACCATGAAGCCCCAAATCGAAATGGTGGCGAAGCTTATGGAGATGGAGCGGTATTGCAAGGCTAGCTTGCAGGTGTTGCAGGAGCCGGAATAGAACTAGGCTATTTGCTCTTGAAAATGACATGGACTTTGTTTGTGAAAAATTGCCCAAGAAGAAGAAGAAGAAGGTCCTCTGTTCTTAGACTCGTCAGTCTCTCTTTTGAATTTGTAGAACTTTCTTATTATTGGATCCATCTTCTTCAGTATCTGTTCAGTTTTGTTTTGAATTTGTAAAGTTTTTTGGATCAGTCTTCTTTAGTTTTGTTTTAAATTTACATAGCTTTTTTATTACTGGATCCATCTTCTTCAGCATCTTTTCAGTTTTGTTTTGAATTTGTAGAAGTTTTTATTACTGGATCCATTTTCTTCAGTATCTCTTCAGTTTTGTTTTGAATTTGCAGAGCTTTTTTATTATTGGATCCATTTTCTTCAGTATCTCTTTAGTTTTGTTTTTAATTTGCGAAGCTTTCTTATTATTGGATTGGATCCATCTAGTAGTATATTTTGAATATGAATAACAATTTACTTAAGTTCTATTTGAATTTATTATTTTTTTTAGGGAGGGGATGGGAGAGGGAGGGAGACTTGAACCTTGACCTCATAAAAGAAGGAATACTATTGAACCAAAGACCTGTTCGAATTTGAATTTATAAGTCTGACTGTAGTAGTTAAAACCAAATAAGTTTTAAAAAAAATACTCACGACCAAATATCCATTTCACAAATTTATGTAAAACTTTATAGAAAGACTTAAAATGTAGTAATATCTTCACAAGTTTATGTAAAACCATATAAAAAGCCCTAAAATATAACAAATTATTTTAGAACAGTCTAAAAGTAACGACTTCTAACTTTACAAGTACCAATCTCTTCCAAATTTTTTTCACTTTTTTTTTGCCCTATTATTTTTGTTTTTGATTGTATTTTATGAGAATATGAGTTATGATTGGTTTTGATTTTTTTTTTTTATAGTTTTAAAACTTTGTTCAATTGACTTTGATTATATATTTATGAATTTTTTTTTGATTTTATACTCTTCATTTAAATGTGAATTGTTTTTAAATTACTACAATTAATTTTTTACCAGTTGTCATCTTTATATATCTATGTCTTATTATTTCTTTTTTTTCATAAATTATGCATTGTTCTTAAATAAATTAAAAACGAATATCATGAGAATCCAATTGCATAACGGAATGGATATAAATAGATGATTCATAACTCGAATATATATAGATAGATATATATTATTTTAAAATAATTCGTTTGTGTTCAATAATTTTTTATGTAACAAGTATGATGCAATAAATACAAAGAATAATAGGGTGATAAAAAAAGAATAGATACAATAGGGGAACAACTAGCCTCTTGCATAAGTGCAAATATGATTTGTTAGTGAAAGACTGAGATCTCAGACGACGTTGTGTAGGAGAATGGGAGGAATGAGTTGTGAGTCCAAACAAAAAAGCGTTATTGTTTCATTAAACTGCATAGTGTGTTGTTAGTCTCCAACAGTAGAGGAGCTACGCCCCCACCACCCCTATCTCTCTCTCAGAATTCAGAACATGACGATTTCCTTCTTCGGAAGGATTATTGAAGCACAAAGGAAAAGGAAGTGGGATGCCGAACGTAGTCTCAAGACGGTTTAGTAATTCAGTGATGCTTCTCTTAGCGTTAAGAAATCTCAGAAGGCCGTTGAAGAAGGTGGGAAGAATATTGAGGATGCTCACAAACTCCTCTGTCAATTCGAGTGAGAGTTCCACAAAATGACGTCCAAGCTGAGGTCGGAGAAAGTGATTACAGTGACCATGAAGCCCCAAATCGAAATGGTGGCGAAGCTTAGGGAGATGGAGCGGTGAATTGCCCAAGAAGAAGAAAAAGGAGGTCCTCTGTTCTTAGACTCGTCAGTATCTTTTTTAAATTTGCAGAGCTTTCGTATTACTGGATCCATTTTCTTCATTATCTATTCAATTTTGTTTTGAATTTGTAGAGCTTTCTGGATCCATCTTCTTTAGTATTTCTTTAGTTTTATTTTGAATTTGCAGAGCTTTTTTATTACTGGATCTATCTTCATCAATATCTATTCAGTTTTGTTTTGAATTTGCAGAGCTTTTTTATTACTGGATCCATCTTCTTTAGCATCTCTTCAGTTTTGTTTTGAATTTGCAGAGCTTTCTTATTACTGGATTCATCTTCTTCAGTATCTATTTACGGAGCTTTCTTATTATTTGATTGGATCCATCTAGTAGTATATTTTAATTTTGAATAACAATTTACTTAAGTTCTATTTGAATTTATTTTTTTTTTTGGGAGGGAAAAGAGGACTTGAGCTTTGACCTCAAGAAGACAAAACCTTTATAAGGTAAAGAGTACCATTGGACCAAATACCTGTTCGTATTTGAATTTATAAGTCTNTGGGAGGGAAAAGAGGACTTGAGCTTTGACCTCAAGAAGACAAAACCTTCATAAGGTAAAGAGTACCATTGGACCAAATACCTGTTCGTATTTGAATTTATAAGTCTGGCTGCAGTACTTAAAACCAAATAAGTTCTAAAAAAAGTACCAACGACCAAATATCCGTTTCACAAATTTATGTAAAACTTTATAGAAAGCTTTAAAATATAATAATATCTCCACAAGTTTATGTAAAACCATATAGAAAGCCCTAAAATGTAAAAAATCATTTTAGAATAGTTTAAAAGTAACGACTTCAAACTTTACAAGTAGTAATCTCTTCCAAATTCTTTTCACTTTTTTTTTGCCCTATTATTTTTGTTTTTGATTGTATTTTATGAGAATATGAGTTATGATTGGTTTTGATTAATTTTATAGTTTTAAAACTTTGTTCAATTGACTTTGATTATATATTTATGATTTTTTTTTTGATTTTACACTCTTCATTTAAATGTGAAATTATTTTAAATTCCTACAATTAATTTTTTACCAGTTGTCATCTTTATATATCTATGTCTTATTATTTCTATTTTTTCATAACTTACACGTTGTTGTTAAATAAATTAAAAATGAATATCATGAGAATCCTATTGCATAACTGAGTGGATATCAATAGATGATTCATAACTCGCATATATATAGAGATATATAATATTGTAAAATAATTCGTTTGTGTTCAATAATTTTTATGTAACAAGTATGATGCAATAAATACAAAAAATAATAGGGTAATAAAAAAAAAATAGATACAATAGGGGAACAACTGACCTCTTGCATAAGTGAAACCATGATTTGTTAGTGTTGAAATCTTAGACGACGCCGTGTAAGAGAATGAGAGGAATGTGTTGTGGGTCCAAACAAAAAAAGGGTACCGTTTCATTAAACTGCAATGTGTGTTGTTAGCCTCTAACAGTAGAAGAGTTGCACCCCACCACCCCTATCTCTCTCTCAAAATTCAGAACATGGTGATTTCTTTTTTTCGAAGGATTACTGAAGCGCAAAGGAAAAGGAAGTAGGATGCCAAACGTAGTCTCAAGGTGGTTTAACAATTTAGTGATGCTTCTCTTAGCGTTAAGAAATCTCAGAAGGCCGTTGAAGAAGCTTGGAAAAATCTTGAGGATGCTTACAAACTCCTTTGTCAATCTGAGCGAGAGTTCCTCAAAATGACGTCCAAGCTGAGGTCGGAGAAGGTGATTATAGTGACCATGATGCCCCAAATCGAAATGGTGGCAAAGTTTATAAAGATGGAGCGGTGTTGTCAGGCTAGCTTGTAAGAGCTGGAATAGAACTAGCTATTTGCTCTGGAAAATGACATGGACTTTGTGAAAAATTGCCCAAGTAAAAGAAGAAGGAGGTCCTATGTTCTTAGACTCGTCAGTATCTCTTTTGAATTTGTAGAGCTTACTTATTACTGGATCCATCTTCTTCAATATCTATTCAGTTTTGTTTTGAATTTGTAGAGCTTTCTGGATCCATCTTCTTCAGTATTTCTTGAGTTTTGTTTTGAATTTGCAGAGTTTTTGTTTTACTGGATCCATCTTCTTCAGTATCTTTTCAGTTTTGTTTTGAATTTGCAGAGCTTTTTTATTACTGGATCCATCTTCTTCAACATCTCTTCAATTTTGTTTTGAATTTGCAGAGCTTTTTTATTACTGGATCCATCTTCTTTACTATCTCTTTAGTTTTGTTTTTAATTTGCGGAGCTTTCTTATTATTGGATTGGATCCATCTAGTAGTATATTTTAATTTTGAATAATAATTTACTTAAGTTCTATTTGAATTTTTTTTTTGGGAGGGGGAGGGGGAGGGAACTTGAATGTTGATCTCAATAGGACAAAACCTAGTACCCTTAGAACAAAGATCTATTCGTATTTGAATTTATAAGTTTGGCTAGAGTACTTAAAGCCAAATAAGTTCTAAAAAAAATACCCACGACCGAATATCCATTTTACAAATTTATGTAAAACTTTATAGAAAACCTTAAAATGTAATAATATCTTCACAAGTTTATGTAAAGCCATATAGAAAGCCCTAAAATATAACAAATCATTTCCAGAATAGTCTCAAAGTAACAACTTTTAACTTTACAAGTAGCAATCTCTTCCAAATTCTTTTCACTTTTTTTTGCCCTATTATTTTTGTTTTTGATTGTATTTTATGACCAATGAGCCTTTGGTTCAATAGTATTCCTTACCTTGTGAAAGTTTTGTCTCCTTGAGATCAAGAGTTCAAGCCCTCTTCCCCACTCCCCCTCCTAAAAAAAAAGAAGTTTTATTTTAAAAAAAAATTATATTTTATGAGAATATGAGTTATGATTGGTTTTGATTAATTTTGTAGTTTGAAAACTTTGTTCAATTGACTTTGATTATATATTTATGATTTTTTTTTTGATTTTATACTCTTCATTTAAATGTGAAATTATTTTAAATTACTAAAATTAATTTTTTTTCCACTTGTCATCTTTATATATCTATGTCTTATTATTTTTATTTTTTACATAACTTACATGTTGTTGTTAAATAAATTAAAAACAAATATCATGAGAATCCAATTGCATAACGAAATGGATATCAATATATGATTCATAACTCGAATATATATAGAGAGATATATATTATTGTAAAATAATTCATTTGTATTCAATAATTTTTTATGTAACAAGCATGAAGCAATAAATACAAAAAATAATAGGGTGATAAAAAAAGAATAGATACAATAGGGGAATAGCTGGCCTCTTGCAGGGCTGAAATCTCAGACGACACCGTGTAGGAGAATGGGAGGAATGTGTTGTGGGTCCAAACAAAAAAGCGGTACCATTTCATTAAACTACAATGTGTGTTGTTAGTCTTCAATAGTAGAAGAGTTGCGCCCCACCAACCCTATCTCTCTCTCAGAATTTAGAACATGGCGATTTCCTTCTTCGGAAGGATTATTGAAGCGCAAAGGAAAATAAGGTAGGATGCCGAACGTAGTCTTAAGGCGGTTCAGCAATTCAATGATGCTTCTCTTAGCGTTAAGAAATCTGAGAAGGCTGTTGAAGAAGCTTGGAAGAATTTTGAGGATGCTCACAAACTCCTCTATCAATCCGAGCAAGAGTTCCACAAAATGACGTCCAAGCTGAGGTCGGAAAAAGTGATTACAATGACCATGATGCCCCAAATTGAAATAGTGATGAAGCTTATAGAGATGGAGCGGTGTTGTCAAGCTAGCTTGCAGGAGCCAGAATAGAACTAGCTATTTGCTCTAGAAAATGACATAGACTTTGTTTGTGAAAAATTGCCCAAGAAGAAGAAGAAAGAGGAACTTTTTTTTCTTAGATTCGTCAGTATCTCTTTTGAATTTGTAGAGCTTTCTTATTACTGGATCCATCTTCTTCAGTATTTATTCAGTTTTGTTTTGAATTTGTAGAGTTTTCTAGATCCATCTTCTTCAGTATTTCTTCAATTTTGTTTTGAATTTGCAACTTTTTTATTAATAAATCCATCTTCTTCAGTATCTCTTCAGTTTTGTTTTGAATTTGTAGAGCTTTCTTATTACTAGATTCATCTTCTTCAATATCTCTTCTAATTGTTTTTAATTTGTGAAATTTTCTTTTTATTGGATTGGATCCATCTAGTAGTATATTTTGATTTTGAATAGCAATTTACTTAAGTTCTATTTGAATTTTTTTTTTGGGAGGGGAAGGGGGAGGGGACTTGAATCTTGATCTCAAAAAGACAAATTTTTCATAAGATAAGGAGTATCATTGGACCAAAGATCTGTTAGTATTTGAATTTATAAGTCTAGTTGTAGTACTTAAAACCAAATTAGTTCTAAAAAAAGTATCCACGACCAAATTTCCGTTTCACAAATTTATGTGAAACTTTATAGAAAGCCTTAAAATGTAATAATANAAAGACAAATTTTTCATAAGATAAGGAGTATTATTGGACCAAAGATCTGTTAGTATTTGAATTTATAAGTCTAGTTGTAGTACTTAAAACCAAATTAGTTCTAAAAAAAGTACCCACGACCAAATTTCCGTTTCACAAATTTATGTGAAACTTTATAGAAAGCCTTAAAATGTAATAATATCTTCACAAGTTTATGTAAAGTCATATAGAAAGCCCTAAAATATAACAAAATCATTCTAGAATAGTCAAAAAGTAACGAATTCTAACTTTACAAGTTTCAATCTCTTCCAAATTCTTTTCACTTTTTTTTCCTCCATTCTCACCGCCTTTTTCCAAGACTTTAAGATGCTGACTTCACAATTGTACTCAAATTATTGTATGATTCCATCCGAATCCAAAACTACTAAAAACTAGAACTAAATCATACCGTAACTCTCTATAAAATGTCTAATAATCATAAAAATGTTATTATCCTCATAAAAATGGTATTAAATAGTTAATACATTGATTTTGCCAATATAGGTGGTATCAAATAAAATTTTAATTTATGTTATTAACTTATTTGTGATAGAAATGTTGAATAGGGAAGGGGTTTCTGCTAATTAACATTTCAGACTTACTATTTATACTCGTCAATTTTGACAAAACATTGATATAAACGGCACCGTTTGATGCAACCAAAATTACAAAGAAGGAATGACGTAGTGTTTGTGAAAACAGCAGCTGTGCTGTTCCTTGACACACAGCTGAGGATCCACAACTCTCCTTCTCACCCATTTCTCTCTGGCGCAAGGTCAGCTCAACAATAGAGCCTACAAAATATGGGCTTTAGGCCCACATATAAAAAAGGCCCGAAATCTTAGAATTTAATAATAAAAGTATAGATCAAAAATTACAATTCATTATAATTTAACTTAACAAAAAAACTCTTGAAAGATTACGTTGACAAAATAAAATTTAAAATTTAAATCTAAAAGTGTAGCCCATCTCATACATACACATTTATTAAAGGACAAAAAATGGTTAGCACTTCAATAAAAAAATATAATAAGTATCTCCCTTTTTACAAATAAAAATAAATTAAACACATTTTCTACTACTATTAAACTCGATTTTGTTTTCATATCATAAAAGATCCACATAATGAATATAAAAAAAACTTTCAATAAAGTTATTATCAAAAAAAATAAAAAACAATAAAATAGTAGGTGAATGTTGTATACATAAACAAGTTAAAGATCATATAAAAAACATTAAAAAATAGTAAAATAATTTTTTTTTTAAACTTGATAAAATAATTCAATAACAATATAACAAGAAATTATAAATGTATATTGATAGTCAATCATGTAATACCATAATTTTAATGAAGAACATACAAAGCAAATTAATAAGAACATAAAAATAGAAACGCAACAATAGATTGTATTTCGAAAAGTGCAGGTCAAGTAAGAGATGAGAGAGACAAACAGATATACACATCTGTTTGTTAAAAAATGTGTATTTAATCATGATGATCTATATATATTGATAATTCCTATGAGTTATAGTATTGAACAACTGCACGGAGAAAACATATGTATAAAATAACACATATATAATGTTTAATATATATTAAATGCCTAAATTACTAAAAAAGAAAAATTATATGATACTACATTGTAATATTGAACATTTTTACTATGACAGTACCTTATAATGGTCAATAAAAAAAATAAATAAAATAACAAATAATATTACTTTTAATCCTTGCGCGTCATCTAGTAATCAATTTGTCTCACTTAAACGGTTTCATGGACGAAGACTCGACAGTAAAGAATAAGCAAATAGGAGGAGGCAAATTGTTGCGAGATGGACGTATACTTCAATCTTTTAAATAGGAGGAGGCATAATAAGGTCGGCCTAGGCCCTGACTATTAAAATAGTTGCCTAGAGCCTAAAAAGTTTAGAGATTTAATTTAATTTTAACCCTTTATGTAGTTTCATGTTGTGAGACTCTTTTGAATGGACCAAGTTAAAGGCCAAGTATATTTCACAAGCAACAACTTCTTTTCATTTCATTATTTTTACAAGCCAAATATAGAAAGTTCTAAAATATAACAAAATCTTCTAAAAAAATATAAAAGCAACAACTTCTCTCTTTAAAAATAGCAATCTCTCTCAAATTCTTTTCATTATTTTTTTCCCCACTCTCACCGCCTCTCCAACTCTTTCTTTGTCTTTCACTCTCATTGTCTTGCTCTGATTTTTTGTCCTTATTTTTTAGTTATCTTATTTTTTTCTTTAAGACTTTATCAATTTATTCATCTGTAAGATTATGAATTCAGAATTGCACTCAATTTATTGTTTCATCCTACTCGATCCTAAAATCACTAAAATTTTAAAAATAAATCATATTGTAAATCTCTAAAAAATATTTTCTCGGCCCCAATTTGTGTTAAGCCGCCCTTGCTCAGGCGACTCAGAGACACCAACAAACATCCACTTCATACTTTCCTCCTCTCTTTGCTTCTCCTCTTTCTCTTCTTCAGTCCCTCTCACATTGATCCCTCTGCAACACAACACACATTACACACACCACACACACATAAAGCCAAACAAAACAACACAACACAACACAATAGGCCAATCTACATACCACCAAACTGTTTTTCATATTAACATCAAATAAAATTAAACAACTTGTAATCCTAATCAATAGGCCAATCTACATATCACCAAACTGTGTTTCATATTAGCATCAAATAAAACTAAACAACTTGTAATCCAAATCAAAACATACTAGTAAATGGATAATAATAAGAAAGCTCTACAAAGAGCAAACTCAAAAAAACTGAAGAGATACCGAAGAGTCTAATTAGAAGATAAGAACTCCCTCTTCTTCTTTTTGGGCAACTTCTCACAAACATTGATTTATCATTTTTTTTCCAGGCATAGAGTTTGGTCCTATTTCAGCTCTGGTGAGACCTACAAGCTAGCTCAATAAGTTTGGCCACCATTTTCAGTTCGAATTTCCTTTTCTGACCTCAGCTTGGACTGCAATTTCTGGAAGTCCCCTAGCTTCACAGAGGAGTTTGTGAGCATCCTTGAGGGTCTACTTAGCTTTTTCAATGGCTTTCTCAGATTTCTTCACCCTAAAATTTCCAAAGTGCGGTCGACATCCTTCTTCCTTATCCTTTCCTTTTCAGCTATATTTCAGAAAAAGCTAATCTCCTTTTTCTAAATTCAAAAAGAGAAGGTGGTGTGGGAGTGTGCGTGAAGTGTGAAGAAGGCATGTGTTTATATAGGCTACAACCTATGAAAGGGGCGTGGAGAGATCTGTTAGTTGTGAGTAGGACAAGGGGGCATCTGATACAAGACACGACTTGAATTTTGGAACTACCTTGCTAAATCTATATAATAAAGTATAATATAATTTAAATCTTAAAAATAAATAAATAAAATAATTTTTATTTTTTTTAGTTAAGATTTGTTTTTTAAAAATATTTTTAAGACTTATAACTTCCCATAAATACTTAATAAAAAAAAATAGTATACCATCCCATCACCACCACTACCCCCACTACTCCACCACCACAACCACCACCTCCGCCACCCCACTACCATGACTCTCACCACTGCCAGTACCACCATTATTGCCGCTACCACCATCACACCCACCGCCCGACTTGGCACGAACAATAACTATATATTCATAATTAGATACAAGTCCCTAAATAAAAAACATACTAATTAAACAAAGTAGGAGAATTAAGAAAACGTCTTTAAAATTACATGAATAGATGTGTCAAAAAATTTTATGGATCGAATGTTTGGTGGAGTTAGTGATATCGTTTATTATAAAAAAAATTAATAAACATTTTATTACTCACACCATTACTTAAAAGCAGAAAATGTTTTTTACACAAGTTCATGCCTGTCTTACGATCATTGATGTCCATAAAAGTTGTTGCCACTACCTGTGTCAATAATTATGAAAAACCATCCTCGAATTACCATAATGTATTATTATCACACAACCCTGTTGAACTAGAATAAATTTATGGTAGTAAAAAGTGTTTATTCGATACAATATTACTAAAACATAATTCTCAGCCTTAAAATTTGATGTTAATATATTTGTGATCCTTGACCGCATTCATCACAATCAATATATACCGCATCCATAAAAGTTGATGCCACTACATTATTACCATTTATGTAATTGAGGGTGAAATGTGAGAATTTTGATAATTTTATGGTGTAAATTGAGAATTTAAGAATTTTTTAGGGCGTGAAGTGCCTAAAGGGGTATGTTGAATTTATATGAATTTTTATATGACAGATATAATGTAATCAAAATATTATCAAATCCAAAGTATATATAGAAGCATTTTCCTTTATACAATTACGATGAAATTGAGTGTTTATATTGGTCTTTTAATTTCAGTGAAATTTTATGTAAAAGAGGATATATCAAGTAAATAATTTTTAACATTTCTTTTTATTTGCACACACTTTTCAATTCATGAGAAGGGTAGTTTTGATGTAACTTCTAATTTTTGCCATTCTTTGTGTAAAATCTATTATACCGTGTTCTTTATATATGTTTATAATTAACCAACATATAACCAAAGCAACAACAATAAAAGATGATTTTATAGTGAACTCTTTAATTGTATACATTAACAAAAAAAAAAAAATTGTTAAAAATTAGCATAAACTGAATCATTGATTGTGGCATTTGTAACAACACCATTGTGTTTCTTTTCAATATAAGATGGATGGAGTTGAAATATACGATGAAAAAATTTGTATCTTTTTTATTCGCATTTTGTTATGGCTAAATTGATACTAATTCTATTTTCATCTACGATTTAAATCTTAGATCTAAGTATATTTTTCCATGCATGAATTTAGAATTTTTCTTATATCAAAAGAAAATCCTATTTAGTTTTGAGGTATAAGTAAAAAAGACTTGTTTGCTAACAAGGTTAGATTAGACACTGTTTTACAATAAAATTTGGTTGTCATTCTAAGTAGAGGTGAAGCTAGAAACTTTTTTGTAGTGTCAACAATACAAAATTCATTAGTAAATTAATATCATAATTATTAACATAGTTTTCACANCACTGTTTTACAATAAAATTTGGTTGTCATTCTAAGTAGAGGCGAAGTGCTTGACAAATTTCTTTGTTGTTTCCTAACTTATAAATATCACCTTTTAGCATGTATAGTATATGAATAAAGGGGAGTGTCACTCTCCTAGGGATGATATCAAAAAAAAGGGCAACAGAATGGTGNTGAATCTCATAATGTTATTTGGTGTAAGTGGGTTTTCAAAATTAAATTACTTTCTGATAGTACTCTTGATCACCAAAAGGCACGTCTAGGGGTGTAAGTTATCGAGTGAGTTGGGGCCAGACTTTGAATAAGGGTAGGCTACCCATAGGCTAACCCGTCACCCAATGGGCCGGCCTGTTGAATGGACTTTTATCTACATATATATACATCTTCATTTTAAAATATAATCATTTTTTGACTGTTGTTATTGTTCCCAAAGCCTGTGTTGTGTTTGTTACAAAAAAAAAAAACGAAAGGCATATGCTGATGTGCTTGTGCATTTTTTACAAAATCAANAGAAGTAAAAGAGCAATAACACAATAAAATAAAATAATATTTAAAGTAAAAGAAATCAATAAATTAAAAGGAAGCAAGAATACAATAAAAGAAAGCAATACTTAAAGAAAGTTATAAGCAATAAGGAAAGTAATAATACTTTTGGAGGATTTTCCACTACCAAAAGATGAATGTTTTACAAGTNACTAATTGGACAAAAAAAAAATTTCAAATAAAGTGGGTGGACGGGCAGCCTCTTAGGCCGAGTTGTGGGCCAAGTTCTGGGTTTGGGGGCAAGCCAAAACCTTATCTTGAAAGATATTAGGCTTGGATTTGGGCAGGCCAACTTTCATACCTATCAAACTTTTGACCATTTTTCAGGCCGAATGATGTACATTCCCGCATGCCAATCCAACGCATGGACATCCCTAGGNATTGTTAGGTGGACTTGAAAATCTTGTTAGGTGACCTTGAATTCTTTGATCCTCCTTTGTTTTGATATTTGATAATTGACACCCTAGTAGTTTGTAGTTTTAATGCAATTGGCTCTCCAGTAGTTTGTAGCTTTGACACACAAAATCCTGAAAAAAACAACAATTAATGCATTATCCTTTATTCACACACTAATTCTAATTTGATTTATTTTGACTAGTTTAACTTTATTCAACTAACACAATTTACCTATTAAATTATGCCTTAATTAGGGTTAATCACAAAACTAGAAACTTTTTTGTAGTGCCAACAATACAAAATTCATTAGTAAATTAATATCATAATTATTAACATAGTTTTCACAAAAATTTCTTGGACATTAGTTCCAAGACATGAATCTCATAATGTTATTTGGTGTAAGTGGGTTTTCAAAATTAAATTACTTTCTAATAGTACTCTTGATCACCAAAAGGCACGTCTAGGGGTGTAAGTTATCGAGTGAGTTGGGGTCAGACTTCGAGTAAGAGTAGGCTACCCATAGGCTAACCCGTCACCTAATGGGCAGGCCTGTTGAACAGACTTTTATATATATATACATCTTCATTTTAAAATATAATAATTTTTTGACTGTTGTTATTGTTCCCAAAGCCTGTGTTGTGTTTGTTCCAAAAAAAAAAAAAACGAAAGGCATATGCTGATGTGCTTGTGCATTTTTTACAAAATCAAAAGATGACCCCACCTTGTAATACATTATAAATATGCAACCTAACTTATCTAATTGGACAAAAAAAAAATTTCAAATAAAGTGGGTGGACGGGCAGCCTCTTAGGCCGAGTTGTGGGCCAAGTTTTGGGTTTGGGGGCAAGCCAAAACCCTATCTTGAAAGATATTAGGCTTGGATTTGGGCGACCAACTATCATACCTATCAAACTTTTGACCATTTTTCAGGCCGAATGATGTACATTCCCGCATGCCAATCCAACGCATGGACATCCCTAGGCATGTCTTATAGCAAAGGGGGTTTCATCAACTTGCAAATATTGATTTTACTCGCACTTACACCCTAGCTATTCGTCCCCAAACAATCAAAATTATCCTCACTTTGGCACTCTCCCGAAATTGGAAAATTTGGCAGTTGGACGTCAAAAATGTTTTCCTTCATGAAACCTTGAAGGATCCTGTGTATATGGATCATTGATCCAAAATTTCTAAATTATGTATGTTAGCTTTCTCGTGCAATCTATGATTTAAAACAAGTTCCTCATGCTTGGTTCGACAAATTAAGTCACTTTCTTATCTCGTTCGGATTTGTTTGTTCTCAGCTAGATCCATCTTTATTTTATCTCCACAACTCCACACGTACTCTTGTTTCACTTTTGTATGTGGATGATACAATCGTAACATGGGATAACCACAAATTTCAACCCACATTTCTTAAAACAGTCAGTGAACACTTTGCTATAAAATACTTGGGAGTCCTTCATTACTTCCTTGGAATTGAAGCTACACCTACATCCCATGGCCTTCTTCTTTCTCAGCAAAAGTATGCTCTTAATATTCTCGCAAGTGCCAAAATGGATACTTGCAAGCCAAAATTGCATAGCGTTGCCCTAGTAATTTTGAGAGTGATTACGTAGGGCACAAGGAATAGTTTTATTCAATGAATTTAGTTAACTATTTTAAATTCCTAGTAATTAAGCATTCGATGAGGGAAGTCTTTTCAAAAAAATTTCGAACAATCATCTTTTTCATCAGTTACTCTAGCGTCTATGATTTTATAAGTTAGTAAAAATATTGTAAGAATTACTGGATTACAAAGAGACAAAATAATGTAAGAATTATATAGACTTGTACATACATATGCAAATAAATATATGTATGTATGTCATATATATTAGATTTTTATTTTTCTTTTTTTGGTCTTTTAGAGGGTGAATCAAGACAAATAATAAGGTTCCCCTATAACAAGAAGTTTATTGTGTTGTTGATGGTTTACCAAAACTAATAGCGTAAGGTTAGTAGTGTTCCATTTCTTGTCTCATTGTAATGTTCCA